CACTTTCAGATCTTAAAACACGTTCGTTGAACTACGTAATTCTGTTTGATTGAATTCAGAATTCTACAATTTGATTGGACATCAATTGATTGACAAGCCAATCAATGCTCCTTTGAATCCCTTATCCATTAATTTTCGCACCGGTTACACTCAAAGATTTTCATGTCGATTGCCGATTGCCTGATCACCTCGAAGAAGAAGACAAATTTATTTTCGAATTAATCAGATTAATAATACATTTTATGTAATTGGTTTTTTCTACGCTTAATATTTGGCCTTATAATTGCATTGACCAACATTTTAATCCAGATTAAACCCCTCATTATTTCAAAAACAATGCCGATATACCCATTAAGTTATTGAGTCATCCACACTGGCTTATCTCTAAATTTTGAGTTAATAAAACATTTAATTGAGTTAATTGCATAGACCTTTCGCAATATGCATCTCATTACCTATCGATGTGGTCTCCATGCACTAAATTATATGTTACGTAGCTAATGAAGACACCTGAACAGTTTAAAACGACCTTTTCCACGTCTTAAATATCAAGCAGTATTATTATCAACCAACTAACGCTTTAAAATTTATTTTCATATTTTAAAACCATATCCACACCAAATAATGAGTCCATTTCAGACCCCACTAACCATATTTTTTCCTTTTCAATGATATTGCCTCAACCCTTGCCCATTACCACCAAAATCACTTAAGACATCAACGATAGCGGTAAACAGGCATTAAGAGCACTAAGAGAGACGGAAGAAATGAAGGCTACTAAAGCTTACCCTAAAGCGCGAACCCGGTGGCACACACTTTTTATCAATTAAGTCCACACGCGCGCTAATTGATTTAATCTAGAAGTTAAACTAAAAGTAGGAAAGATCACATCTAAATTTATTAGGGTGAAAAAATCCCCTAATTCGGTCTAAAATAATTTTCCGAATTCGCATTAGACTTACCAAAGGAGGCAAAAAATTTGCCACAAGTGTTCAAAAGCGATAATTAGCGATGACTAACGGCATTATCGATTTTTACACCCATTAGTGTATTTACGTAATTCATGAATAACGAGAAAACTGAAATTTTTCTGCAATCGTAAATCAACTTATTTTGCTCTGATCAGTTTAGTGCAATGAGAAAATACAAGATTTTTTATATTCTACATAGTTTGTTAAAAATAAGCGTACAATTTTTCAATTAAACATTTGTTCATTTGCATCCCTCTGATTGGGATGATCATTCCATCTAATTAGTGCATATTCCTATGCAATTATATTAGCTTTCTGCTTTGTATCAGACGCAAAAGAAGTAAAGGAAGCTTTTTCTCTCTTAATAAGGGACAAATTATATTGCTGCACTGTTGGTGAATTGATTTGCTCTTAGTAAGAACCTAGGAGCCAGCTATTAGTGCCTCAGTCCTGTATAGGCAGAGCCTTGCGGGTCAATTAATGCTTCATTAAAACAAGAGAAAACTGTATGAAAGAGTCACTTCCGCCTATTACTACTCCAACTAATTATACCATCTCTCTCTCCTCTCTATGGGGTGGTTGGGATGGAAATGGGGACGAGAGAGAAAGTGGGGGGGGGGGGGGGGGGGGGGGGGGGNGGGGGGGGGGGGGGGGTGGGAGTGGGAGGAATGGATATTAGAGCCGCCTAATTACGTTGGGAGAAAGTCTATCAATATGGAAATGCAGTCATCTTTCCATCTCTCTGGCTCTCCCCACGTACTTTCATATTTCCCGCTCAATCTAAAGTTTTTTAATCGCAATAATAATGAGGAATTTTTCCGATTTATAATCGGCCATTATCACTCGTTTACTACAACTCGGAACATTCTGAAAATTATGTCTGCAAGTCTTTAACTTTAAAATCTTGAAGAGGTGTAAATTACCTATAATAATATTGCTTTAGATATCAAATTAATTAATTAAAATTTATTCACAAACAATTAACCAATCCATATTAAGAACTCAATAATTGAATCAAGATTAGGTTAACATATTTTCGATATTTCCTAATAGCATTGCTGATTCAGAGAAAAAATCACATAAATATTGCAAAAAAATTTACACAATTCATGCCATACTCCTAATTAGCAAATCTAGGAGCAAACATTTTGTTAAAAACTTGTTCAAAATCATTTCCCAGGGAATAGTTTTGGTCTAATTGGCCTGAAGTGGAAGATGCTACAAGAGTGAGATAATTAGCACTAAGCTAATGAGCAATTTTGTCGGCTTTAGAAATATTTTCGTTTAAACAACCCAAATTTCAACGAATATTTTTGGTCAAGCTAACTTTAATTTTACTTCTTAAATAATTACGGAGTCATGAAAATGGAAGAACGAAATCGGCTTACACTTGGTATTTTCATCTACAAGGAACCATTACGACTAATTAAGCAAACACGATTCAATTACGCTCAAGTTACTGTGTCTTATGTGGCACAACACTGAGAATCCGGTTAATGCATTATCTATGACAAATTAAATATTTTCCAGTAGAATACAGAGAAATGTCCAATGTTATTTAAGAACCGAATGGTTTAAAGTATTGTAATAAGTTAGGAGATTATGATAACCCAATAACATTTGGAGTCTAGATTAATTAGACTCAGTTCCTCGCGGAAGACCTACAGCAACCTCTAAACATGAACATGGCAACTCCAAATTCAGTGGATTTTAATTTGCTTACCGGTTCATATCTGCAATGTCCCCATCTGTATGGCGGCTAGTTAGTATCAGCTGGCACATTTTAAGCGAACTAGTCGATATTCCAGTTAATTTCTTGGCCGCAGCTATCCTCATTGACAGAGATCATAAAATGGAAGGTGAAAGGAAAAACTCCAGTTAACCCTCTCGTTGCTTATATAGAATATGTGAATAAGGCTGAGTGTCAATAAAGCGAAAGGGACAGTTATTTTCATTTCGGTTGATGAGAATAGCAAATATTTTAAGTAATGCTCACTGCCTGTGCATGCCAAATTGAATTTCTTGGAAACTACTCAAAGATCCGCCAGGAGACCCCAGAGAGAACGTTAATTATGCGCTAGTCGTCGTATCTCAAATGACAAGTCGGCAGTGGAGGAACCGTCTATCGTCAGTTAGCTGACTAATCTGGGACTTGACATATCATTATTGATACAATTTCAAAAAAACTTTAATACATTTCATGGGCTACTGTTGACAAACTCTATCCCCAATAGTACGCTGTCTTAAGACAGAGTAAAGTATATTGAAGATAAATATTACTGAAGAAATTCAGGTAAAAGTATTTTCTATTATTCAATATAACTAGAAAAGGCTTTTCTAAAGAGAATCCTGATTTCATTACATTTTGGCCCGTTTTCATTTAGTAAGTTTAAATTTGATATTTACGGCCGTGTGTCGATGTTGAATCTGTGACCTCCTATGTTACTAGGGTACACGTGGACGGTCATGCCACCGTTAAAACAACAACCTTGAAGTCAGAGGTTACAAAATCGAAAGTCATCAACACACGAACGGTAAGCAGTATGGTTAATCTTATTAGTTGAAAATGGATGGAGAGGTAGAAATTTTCATCAGAGGAAAAAATGTAATTTGCATTTTATTTAACTAAACTAAAATTATGAAACTGATTTCGCTTGATATCTTACATGTTTTGATGCATCTAAATAAAGGCCATTAATAACATTTAAAATGTTCTGTTTAACAGCTATTTAAATCCAATATCAAAGATTTGTTAAAGTGTTCTATTGCAACACGAAAATGTTGTTTCAATATGGCAATTAATGCTATTTCATTCAGTCAGAAAATAAAACTGCATATATTTGTTGTATTGAATGATTGGGAAACTGATTAGCCAATAATAAGAGATAAGTCCATGACCAATAGTAACCAGCCCTGTTCATTCAAAGCGATGCGCTAACTGATGATGAATGGGGTCTTCTTACTTCTGCTACTACTCCAAAATAATATCCAAGGCTTTGATTGGGGTGAAGTTACGTATTTTTTAAGCTTAGCAACATTTACTCTCCTGACGATGTAAGTGGTAAGCATAAGTTCAAGGTAATGGATTCGGTAACCATTTGCTTACATTATAATGAGGTTTTAAGAATGCTAGTCATATTACAGCCGCAGCTTTTCCAGAGTAAGAAGACCAAGAGCTAGGTAGTACCATATGTAAATTTTGCAATTAGAGCCGAACGAGGAAATACGAAGAAGAGGGATCAGGAGAAAGACAATAATAGGCGGTACTGGGCAAGGGCATCCATGTTTGTGAAGGAAAAGCGAAGTGAGATAGGCTTGCGTAAAATGACTTACCAGACCGATGAATTTGGGTGCGCAAGTGCTGTACATCTCTCAGTCTAACCCAAATCTTTAATTAAATAGAATTTCCTTTCGATTGCATGATATAAATGAATAACGAAGAAAGCACTGTGGGAACACAATTTTAGTATGCGTGACTGGAGATCTTCTCGAACAATCAACGAACAAAAAGTCAGACCACCCAATAAACGGTCAAAACAATCAATGTCTATGGTCAATACGCGGTTACCATGCTAGGAGATGTATATAAGGATTACGTTCCACATTATACATTACATTCAAGCTGTCACGTTGACATACATCATGGCAGCACGCGGCTCGATATACCCAATAAACGTATTCTACGTCATGCTTCTTTCTCCTCTTTATAGCTTTGCGGTAGCTTAGCAGGTTCTGGGGGTCTATCCAAACAAAGGAGAATCAGCAAAGAGATTTCTAAGTATAGTTAATGCTTATTAGTGTAGCAACCCGCTACATCACTCACCCGAATTTTTCAAGTATATAATATTTAGTAATGGGTCATTTGTTAGTGTGCCAAAGAAAATTTTCTCTTCTAATGGTGGAGATATAAAGACATAAATTACTTTCGAATATATCAAAAGATATCAAGTAAAAGAAAATCAAAATAAGATATATTTTCAGCTAATAAATGATACAAATTTTAATTAGCCTCGGAATTAATCTTCCATTTCAAAAGAAGGTTGCAAGGTAAGTGTTCAGGCCACTGATTCTGCGATAATCCTGCTTGAATTCAGCTCCACTTTCTAAAATAAATCACAAACAATAAGTGACTTATTTTTGATCTCCCTCGGTTTTGATTTAATAAAATAGCTTAGACTAACTAGAATTAAGCCATTCGTCAAAGTTCTGTTTATCTTTAAATTGATGAATTCTGATTCCAGCTGGTAGGCAACGGTGTTTTCGAACCGCGTCAACGTAGGAGGTATCAGCAAGAACAGGCACTCCACCAAAATCGTCAATTTGATATAATTTATTTCTTGAAGGCAAGTATTGATAATTGTCTCTTGAACCCAATTCTGTGATTAAGAAAGTTGGCCAACAAGGTCCCAGCTTGACGGCCTTCAAGAGAGGAACCATAAAGATATCACAATCAGGCAAAAAGTTGACCTCCAAATAACCAGCTACTTGAAGAAAGAGCGCAGCATGATCCCTACTTGGAAATTTGATCAATGCAAGAGCACAATCAACCTCATCACGTTCGTCAGAACATGGATTTAAGGGCTCGGCCTATAAAATGCTTAATCAAACAAACTCAAATACAAAAAAGCTTACAACATAGCAAACTCCAAGCAAGTTGCCTCCATAACTATTCTCAATGATACCAGCATGGGAGTATACAGCATTTCGAAGAGATTGGATATTTGCGTGACTGGTGCGGATGAAAACTATATGTTGCATTTTTCCAGGAAGGGAGATAGGCTTTCAGGTGAGGTTGTTAATAACTGGCACTGGGATGCAGATCGATCGATTAAGATTGATCGAGTGTCCCATGCAAACGGTGTCATGTGATAGAAAAATTATCCTCTTGATCATCAAAGAGATCATCACAATATTACGCTAATAGAATTTTTGATGTTCTTTATTTCCTTCTATACGAGAAATTATTATTATTTCAATTTGCAGGCTTTGTGATATTTATCATTAGCCCTTAAACTTTGACTTCAGCTTCCCCCATGGGTGGGGGGGGGGTACATTTATAGCAGTTAATTAATAGCAGTTCATTAGCTGTCTTCTTGCTTCCCAGTATCTCTGGCTTTCCGTCGTTGTCTTTAGGGCTGAACATCGTATCAGGTGGGTCTTCTCCATTTCCTCCTGTGGGTTACATAGAGGGCATGTGAGTTGAGTGTATACTCCCAATCTGTGAAGATGTTTTGCCA